AAAAGACAGGGAAATTCAGCTTCCTGTCTTTAAAATCCTTAAGTGCTTTTAATTGAATTTTAGTTGCATCTATATGTGAACATTCAACTGGATAGAATTCATGACAAGGCTTCAGTTTCAGAGTTTTAGACTTAATGCAGAAATATAAATTATCAAAAAGTAATAATTGAAACTAAGCTCTCTAGCTTCGGTTGAGAGATAACAACCACCGATAAGTGACACCACAGAGAAAATCTTTCTGTTTCCATATCAGGCATGGTCAGCCTTCACCCAGACGTTTTTAAACTGTTACTTGCTGAGTCCCACAGAAGATGTTGGTCTCTTGCAAGGTCCCTGAATACTTTCACAGTTAAGAAACATGGTTGGTTTTAAAATATATACCGGTATGGTATGTATAGATGTTATAGTTTTGCAAGCTACCCAGAGGTTGTCCTCTGCTTGTAAGTTAATTATGAGAGGGAGAGAGAGGGAGGGAGGGAAGGAAGGAAGGAAGGGAGGGAGGGAGGGAGGAAGGAAGGAAGGAAGGAATCCCTAAAGGTCTGAGGAAATTTGTAGAAAAAGAAAAAAAAGTTTTGGTACTTATTGACTTACTATTATGAAGAACTAAAAAATATCTACAGATTTTACCCATAAACTTATAAAATAAGCTTCCTGTCAAGTACAAGTATCAGGGATATGACAGAGCAACTTTGAGAGCTTGTCAAGTCTTCTGACAATTATCCTTTTCTTGTAATCTATGTGGGGACAGATGATACCACAAAGAGCAGCTCTGAATTTTGAAAACTTAGGAAATGAGGAAGGAAGGAAGCTTTAAGAACCCATGGGTTTAAAATATTCTATTTATCCATCCTTCCAGTCCATGTAAGAGAACTAGAAAGTGAAAGAGTATTTCAGATAGAGAGATTTGCTTTCTGGGATTTTGGTCTAAATTTTTGAGATGATGGATTGAAACAGCAAATCTAGTAGATTTGTCAGGCTTCACATCAGGCTGTATTGCTAAATCTCAGCACTCCAGACCCTTACCCTTTATTTAGGAATTAGATTTCTTAGGAGAAGGTTCTCAGACATAGTGTGGATTATGGATTATTCTCTATTGCAACCAGACATGACATCCAGGAACAGGTGTTCCACGGCCATACATGGAAACCAAATCTGTAGAAGTCTATGCTCCAAGGTTTAAACTCTAGGCCTTTTTCTTCTGCTTTTCTAAGTCAATGGATGTATAGCAGGGCTGTCAAACTCGCGGCCCTTGGGCCGGATGCATCACGGGCTGGCCCTGCCCCCGCCTGGTTTAACAAAGGGGGGAAGTCCCGATACATCTTGTGACAACAACATGACGACATGAGTTTGACACCCCTGATTTATAGCCATGCTCTTGAAGGCTTCAAAAAAACCCTGATTGACATTGACATGTTCGTTTCCTAGTTTCCTTTCTTACAGAGTGGTTGGTTAGCCTTTTGTGACAATGATGTAATTAACCCTTGTCCAATTAATATCATTCTCCCTGATGCTCCAGATCCAAGCTGCTCCATTTCTCTGGATGTTTAGAGACACAAATGTGCATTATTTGATTGCACATTTGGCACTCGAAGGTACATCCAGAGAAGCTAAACACTGTTTACATGCAGTGTTGTGATTTTTATTTTTATTTTTATCAGAACCAGATATTGAGGCACTGTCCAGTTACTTTCTATTGCTGGCAACCACCAGATGACTTCAAAGGATTCTTGAAATTGACCTATGCTGCTTTGATAAAATAGAATTCAGCTACAGAAGTTTAAGAGAGTTTTAAAACAGCTGCAATGTTTTAGTATGCAAGCCCTGTACTTAGATGATAACTGAAAATTATTAGTTCTTTCTGTTATTTTCTGAATGGGAAAAAAAGTATTATTTTCATTTATTCCTAAATTGATTAGTTTTGATTTGAGATGGATGTGGTTTTGTTTATGTTTAGACAGAGCAACCAGATCCCATCTTGTCTGGTATTGTGTTTTTGCAGTTTATTTATATTGTGGGCTGCCCAAGTCAGTTTGGACTAGGGCGGAGTCTAATTTGAATTAAATGAATAAATATTATGACTGCACCATTGACAAAATGGTATTGTTACTTCTAAACAGCAAACTATGGTTATGGCAGTCCTTCTGCACAGTGGTGGGAATTCATTTTTTTTTACTACCGGTTCAGTGAAGCGTGACTTGGTGGGCATGGCAGGGGAAGGATACTGTAAAATCTCCAGTCAGAGGTGGTATTTTCCAGTTCTCCAAACTACTCAAAATTTCCACTATTGGTTCTCCAGAACTGGTCAGAACCTGCTGAATACCACCTCTGCTTCTGCATTGTTATTAATCTGCAGAAAGGTAAATATCTTGTAATAGTCCCATGTTAAATCCTGTAACTGGGCAAAGTGTTTGTTATAATTAACTTTGCTGTACCAGGTATCTAAAAAAGCACTGAAGACTAGGGAGGTAAGGCTGGGTAATGCATGCTTTTGTTCATTGACTTTATTTCAGAGAAAGGACCTGTATTTCACAGTCTGTCTTCATCTAAATTATTTCTGTTTTTCACATTTCTCTCTTCTTTCACCTCCTCCCCTCTGCTCCAGTGCTGTGCCTGGGTTTATTTATTTTTTATTATTTATGATTTTTTTTTCCCTCATGGAGGTTCAGAAAAAATCTGACAGATTTGCTTTATGAATAATAAATAATATGCCCCGGCTTTTCAGTGTTAAATATAAACTAGTGTAAGCACTGCTTTCTGTGCAAGTTGATAATGCTTTCTAAGTAACATTATTGCATGTTCTGCTCTCCAATTGGTAGCTCTGATTAGTATAGATCAGTGGTTGCTTATCACTGGATAAGTCGCTATTTCTCTACCCAACATACAGTAAGGGAAAATGGTAGAAGGAATGGTCTGAACATTGCCTTGAGCTCCTAGAGGAAAAGCAAGATATAAATCTGTTTTATAATAATGATAAATTGCGCTGGGGAGGTTTAGGAGGAATTCATCCATATAATGGCATCTTAATTGGTTCCTGCACACCTTTTTCAAGAATGCCACTTCTTCCTCCTCCTCCTCCATAGCCTGGAGTAGGATTTTGAGTTTATCCAATGAATAAAGGTCAGATGAAAGTGAAATACTTGGATTCCCTAATAGAATTCCTTTCCTTTGGGAGAAGCTTTGGGACCAACATAGAAAAAAATTATAATAAGTGCTAATGTGGTGATTGTTATAATTGTTAGCATATGGTGTTGTTATATTAGCCAGGAGACCACAATGCTATTGTAGAGTAGTAGTTTGGCTGCCAAGGTACCAGCTCTGTTGTAGGAAATGCCCACGTGCTTTACAAGGTGCAGTGATGCACAAGGTGCATCACAAAAGGGAGAATTAATTTCGCACCAGAAAAAAAGACAAGTGGATCTTCCTGCAGCATCATCCATAACCTCTTACCTCTCCAGAGCCACCTCACAAACAGGAGCCATAGCCAGGAAGGTTCAGCCCTATCAGGAATCTGACTGACTGCACAGAGCACCAACTCATTTTCCCACCGAAGTGGTACCTAGTTACATACTTGCATAGAACAGGCTTTCGAACTGCTAGGTGGGCAGCAGCTGAGGCGAGTGACAGGAATGCATGCTGCCATGCAGTGCTAGGACTCGAACAGCTGGAGCAGAGACCATCTCCAGCATCATTAAGTCTTATAGATGGAAAGATACAGTATTCTGTCAGCACCCAGTAGGCCGAAATGTACCCTACCGTAAAACATTGGAGAACCATGATTGTGCATTGTATTCGGCATTGAGACCCCTGGCCAAATTGGGTGGATTTGTTTTTGATGTTACTTTTCATCTTCTCTGGCTTTGAGGGTTTTGGATTGGATTGTCTTTCAGCATTTGAGGTTGTTGCATTGTTTAGTGATGTAGATGTCTGACTTTTCTCAGATGGATACTATAAGCCAGAAGGCTTATAGGCAGGAATTCAAGGATACAACTTTTGGCAAGACCTTTTGAGAGAAAAGCCATTAACACGAAGAAAATCAGAAACCGCATGCACTGTAAGAGTCAGGCTATAGCAATCTCGACGCTTAAACCTCCTCTCTTTCTCTTGACCATGTTTTTGGGGGGTGGAAGATGTGGTTGGCACCTATGCATTGTTATTGAAATGGATCACTATGTCCTCAAGCTTTGACCTTATTAGATCTAGCTCTCACAGCGGATATATGACAGTCTGCCTTGGTGCTGACTCTAGAAGATATGCATTATCTTTATATAGCCTCTCTTTTTTTAAAAAATACAAACTCTTAAAAAAGGAACCTAACCCCCTTTTATGCTACTAATTCGCTAATGGAGTAAAATACAAACAACAAGGATAGTTGTGCTGTGTCGAAGTGCATTTATTGTACTTATCATACTGTGTCCTAAGTATCCAGGACAGTTTGCATGTCCTTGCCCTAATTGAAGACCTCTGCCCTTATAAGCATACCATATGCCTTTTTCTTCAGCAAGGGAGGGAACAGATGGATAGAAGGAAAAGTTAGGAACAACAAACAGATGGGAAGCAAAGTTACCAACAGGACAAATGTAGGTTTATATCTTCACTGATTTTCACTGCAATTGCAAAGTTTCTTTTTCTTAAATGTGAGCCTCGTTTTAAGGTAGAACTTTATCTACCCAGATTGTGAGAACATTGCTTCCCAGGCAGGAAGTACCATTTCTGTTTGCTATTAGCTCTATATTACTCCTAGGTTTATTAATTAGATCTTGATGAGATCTTGAATTAGATCTCAGAAGCCCAAGAAATCTTGAAATCATTGAACTCGGGTCAAAGTCTGAAAAGCCTGGACAAAGAAATATCAGTTCACAAATTTTTGTAGGCTATCCAATCTCCTCTCAATTTGTCAGATTATTTAATGCAATAAATGCATAATATAAAGCTGAAGTGTGTTTTCTCGGATTCGGAGAAAATTACAAATGGGTTTAGTGTTTTGTGTCTTGATGTTTCAGCTGGAGTGACTGCAGAAACCATTCAGACGGTTAATATTACTCCTGAACAATCAGGACCTGAAACCAAAATTCAAGAAGAAGAACATGATCTGGTTGATGAGGACATCTCAGCAGGTAAGTGTCATATACCTGTATAATCCCACTGATTCTCTGCTCTTGATGTGGCATTTCACAAGTTGCAGTCAACACCCCTCCATTTTGAACAACGCTTTATAAAGCATTTGCACCTGAAATTTCATTGTAAAGTTATTTCAGGAAGTAGTATATCTAGATATATTTCGCTTTAAAAACATGTGTCACTGCAAAGATTCACTTGTGTTTTGTTAATTTTATTGCTTAGGCTCTGCTTTCTTATTGCTCAAATATGGCATGAGGAATCGTGTAGATTTCCCACAATTCTTACAATATGCAAAATTTGTTTATTAAATTTATTTTCTGCCCATCTTAGTTTGAGCAACTCTGGACAGCTTATAGCATAAAAAAACATTAAAATCATCAAGTATAAATATTCATCCAATAAGACAACTTACTGAATTTATTGAAAGAGTAAACATTAATTATGAATGTATGTTCAGTTTATTTTTACAGTGTTTTATTTCCTTAAAGGATCATAGCCCAAGTAGTTGCCTTTGTGTAAGCCATCCTGGGAAAATGGAGCACTGGTGAGATGGCTGCACTGTATCGAACATACTTTTACCCAGTTTTAATAATAATAATGATAAATTTATTATGTTATAATTTATTTTGATTTTTATTATGGTATAATTTTTAGAGCTTGTTTTTTTGTGATCAGTTTTAACTGCCTGATGCCCAGAATCGCATTCAGAAGATGGGAGTATATAAATATAAATATGAAATATAGATTAATGAATAAATTAAATTAGAGGCAGTTTGGCATAGGTCAAGGATTACAGTATCTATGTGGGGCAAATGGAGAATAGTTATGTTGATGTCAGATTTCAAGAAATAATTCTTTCTTGAGAATAGTTACTGCAATTAATTAATTGGGGTGCTGTAAGCAATGTACATGATGTTTAATAGAATAACAGAATTGGAAGGGACCTTGGAGGTCTTCTAGTCCAACCCCTTGCTCAAGCAGGAAACCTCATATCATTTCAGACAAATGGTTGTCCAATCTCTTTTTAAAAACCTCCAGTGCTGGAGCACCCATAAGTCAGCCCACTGATTTAATTGTTCTAAGTATCAGGAAATTTCTCCTTAGTTCTAGGTTGCTTTTCTCCTTGATTAGTTTCCATCCATGGCTTTGGATATCCTTTGGAGCAGGGGTTGCCAACCTTTTGGACCTCGGGGACCACCAAACTCATAATTTTAAATCCCAGGGACCACTAACTGGTTATGTGGGCATGGCCTAATTTGTGGGTGTGGCTTGGCGGTCATGTGACTGGCTGGTCATGGCTTGTATGTAAATATTATAAATATTTATATAAATATTGAATTTTTTATAAAAAAAGAGCAACTTTTACCCAAAATCAGGCAAAGCAGGTAGGCAGATTGAGTTGCTCACAGAATCGTTCAGTGATCTATCTATCTGACATCAGCTACCTGAGTCTGTCAGATAAAATTTGCTTGCCGTGAGTCTGGACTGAATAATAGAACCTTCAGTCCTAAGGGAGATTCGGCTGTGCTTAAAAGCACAGTCGAAGATCTAAAGACTAGCTAGAAAGCAAGAAATCCAACCATTTCCTGCTTCCTAGCTAATCTAAATCTCTCAGCACAGCAGAACAGCTGATGGTTGGAAAAATAGCAATTTAGCAGGCAAGTTTGCTGGGTAAGGAGTGCGTGGGCGGGGAGGGTTCCCATGGGCCATGTGGGCGGCACAGCCTTGTGTTTCTGCACAGGCTGGATTAATTGCTTTGGGGGGTGCTCTGGAGGGGTGAGATTTCTCTGTGGCCCATCAAAATTTTCTCACAGCCCATCAGTTGGCGACCACTGCTTTGGAGAATAGGTTGACCCCCTCTACTGTTTTATGGAGTAAAGTAAGTACTTATTGCACAATGGAAAAGTTAACAAAGGGAAAGGCAAAGTATTAGTGAGCAAATAAAATTTTAATCGGTTAAAGCTTCACTTTAGTTAGGGTTGCACTCTGAACGAATAAGACAGCAACTTAACGACTTTTTCCCTTTTTATCCAAAGGGAGAGACTGCATAAAGGCATTTATAAAGGAATATGTCAAATGTCTCATTTCTTTCACTAATTGATTTTCTTCTCGTTTAAGCTATCAATAGCAGGTGTACTGAAATAAAAAAAAAATGTTTACTTTCTTCACAATTTACATGACTACAAAATTTCTTTAAAAACTAATAAAATGATAAGCTAGGAATTGTATATGCTCTCTCTTGGACCTTGTTACTTGATTTTTGTGCAAATTTTAAAAGGGAACAGTATTTCTGTTGACTAGATGCCTATATAAACTACAGTACAAAAATCACATAGGCATATACAGTGAAACCATTATCACTGTAAATCTTATTTTGCTGGCAATTGAAAAGAAATAAGACTTAGTATTTTTGCCACAAAACATGGGGCAGTAAATCCATTGGTGTTTTGATGATTTCCCACGTTTTGTGATCACCGAGTAATGGTTTCTATTCATTCAAAGCAATGCTGCTATATAATTACTGTGCAAGTTTATGCTCTGGGTTTGACAGCTTTCAATATTTTATATGTTTATTGAGAACTGCCTGATTTGGATGAGGTCAGGTATAAATTCATGAAACCAAATTATAAATTAATAAGTCTGTAGTGATTTCTGATCTATGTATATTATTTTTAGAATATAGCCACTGTGCTGGAAATTCTTACTTTTGATTGATAATTGCATTATTGTTGTTTTAAAAAAAAGAATGTAAGATATTCAACATTGGTTAGATGTTTATAATGTTACTCTCAGGATCAGGCTATTAGTAGTAAAAGACTACTTTAAATATAATTTCATTGATAAATATAATCCTATTGAAATGTGGTGTTTTCATTCCATTTCTCTATATTTATAGTATATATCTATATTTTAAATGCTAATAACTATTGATTCACTTCCCAAGAAGAAATGTGTCATAGTTTTTACCAAATCAGTCAACATTTTTAATGACTAAAATAAAAGCAAATCATTACCACTTCCATTCCTTGAAAATTCTTTTGTCTGTAGAAAGAGACTAGCATTCAAGTTATATGGATAGTTGTATCTAATGCAGGATATATAACTGACAGCCTCCAATTATATATCCTCTTAAAATACGTTTTAAAAAATGTTGTTTTAAATGTAAAAAATTATCAGTAACTAAAATGTGAAAAATTATCAGTAACTAAAATGAATTAACTGGTTGGTTAATGCACACAGGAAATATATCACCTAGAATGAACTTAACTGAAATAAGATAAAGAAATAGTATGATTCTAGTAAGCAGCAGTGTATCTCTTAATCTACTAAATTTCTTTTCTAATAAAAATTTTTAATACATATAGGAGAGCTCTTCATTTGAATTACATTTCTCATGAAATAGAAAAGCACTATTTGCAGCTTTTGTGTCTGAAAGATTAGTTTCAGCTTTCTTTGGTCAGCACAGCTGACCACATAATAAAAGAAAAGGTCAAAAGTCACTGTCATTGTCAAAATCTGAGATTATAATACTATATCACCATTTCTTGTTGACAGATTTAATGACCTCAACTTAAAGAAGCAGCATGGTCATAGATTAAAGTATTCTGTGCTCTAAAATATGGGAGGACAGATCTCAGATTTGTAGGATCTGTATATTGGTATATTTTGCTAAGTCAGCCAAATCGGAGCCAAATATAAAAATAGGGGGAAAAAAAGCATAAAATTCAAAAGTTCTGACTATCAGAACTGAACTGGGCTCATCACCTACCCCTGTCCTCTGTGTTGGAATTGAGCAGTGTATAAAATTTATGCATAAAGTGTATAAACTTATAAATAAACAAATCATAGTTGTTAAATAATTGCAAATAAAATCTTGACCATCAAATCTACTTTATTTCCACCCACTTGGGTAGGGATCTTTGTTTATCTTTTTTTGTTGTTGCTCCTATTATATATGCATCATTATTTTTGTAACCTCCATTGTCATAGTTTCGCTGAAATATCTTGAGAGATACTAACTTATTTCCAGACGATGTAAAATTTTTGTGAGGCTGTGCTTCACGAAGGTGCATTCCTTCTTTACACTATTGGCAAATGGTACAATTTAAAAGCAAAGAAACCCTGGCAGCTATAACACTACCACAAAGGACCCACAACCACAGTAAACTTTAATTCAGGTCTCAAGGGCTTTCTAAATGCCTAGGAGAGAAGGCACCATCCATATTTCTGGAAGGATAGTCTTCCAAAAGATTGAGCTGCGTAAGAGCAGCTGATCTCGCATTTCTAACTCTGAACTCAACTGTTCTGCTGGTTAACAATCATAATAAAATTATTTGCATTTTGAACCTAACTGTATTCTGTGGTATTTTTTGCATCTGTAAAATGAAAGAAATGTCTGCTTTATTTTTATATAAATAAAATACCTTGATTTTGCATAATTACTTCCATTCATTTACTAAAGGTTCATTATTTACGGTGTGCAACCAGCAGAAAAATCAGTGGGTCGTTTAGATGTGCTGCATATTATATTTACCTCATGCTAAGGTTTGGCTAGTTTTCAGCAATTCCAAACAGCAGTATAAAACGTACATTATGGTATTCTTGAAATAGTTTGTAGTTCTGTCAATGAGCAAAAATCTAATTTGAACATCTGTCTTTGCCATGCTTTGTATTCTGATCTTTTAGTGTCACACAGATCATGTGGAGAGCGATATAAATGCATCTTAAAATCCCTGCTCACTGAAGGCCATTGTTCCTTTAAAAAAAAAAACAATCTCCTTCAGTAACACCGTTATGATATTTCCTCCATCCAGATTTACCCTATACTTTCAATAATGTCTTTTATATACAGTATTTGGCAAAATACATTATCACTATAAGTTCAGAAATGTAAATATAATAGAAATGAATTATTTTTGAATGCATCTAATGGTGAAAAAAATATCCATTTCCAGTGTTCAAGAATATAGTTGAAAGAGGATTTAGTGCAAGACTG